ATATCCAAAATTCACTGCTCATCAAGACTTTTACTTCAATAGTACTAGTGAGGTTGATTTTCTCTTAGGTTTCAGATTCGAGCCTTGGGTATGTAAAAATTCTTGGTACGAAGCGCTTTCTTCCGAATTGGGCCCTATGCAGCGCGAATCCGGATATAGTCGAGCTAAGAGGCGAAGCTAGGATTTAAAACTTGTGATTCAGATTCTAGTTTTTTTGAATTAATGGGTTCTAAAATAATAATTTGTACATAATTCATGAATTTTACAAGATAAATACAGAGCCTGAACAAAAGCTGTTGGGTTCGACCGAACCCGTAAGCGAAGGGCTAGCTCCACCTATGGTCGGACTCCAATACTGGTACCGAACACCGAATGGAAACCAAAAAAAAAATATTCATCCACACAATAAGTGTTGATTTTATTTTTATTGTCTTCTTTCTCGGTGTGTGTTAGAAAAATACATTTATTACCTGACTAATGCGTATTCGTATAGAATAAGTCATGTAACAAAGTAAAGCTCTCCTTAGCCTAAGAGATTTTAGTTTTCACGGCTTAACTTGAAATTTTTAATTAAAGGTAGAAGTATTCAAACCATTTAACCAAACCTCTTAATTAGTTGACGATACTATTATCCCTTTAGAGTTTAGACTCCTCATTCTCGTGAGAGTGATTACAATCATATGCAACTTAACTTAAAATTCAAAGGTTCGTATAACACTAGAATATCTTTAACTCTTGTAATGAATAGCGTAATGACTTTATTATATACTTAGAGGTTTGAGATTCGAGTTATTGTTAGTCCCGCAAATATTGCTGTATTTGTAAATAATAATTCTGCAAAATATAAGTTATCGTAATGAAACAGTAATTAATTCGAGCCCACTGAATTCACAGTGTTTCCTTAAGGAATTTAATCTCCTCCTAGTACCCAAGGTAATGGATTATTTCCTCCCAGGATAGAACGAATCACACATTGGTGTAGCGGTACTTCAAACCCCAGTGTTTCAGCGAACACAAAGTTCGGTAGCAAATCACACTTACAGTTGCTTTATTTGAAGTTAAAACAATGCAGAACAAAGGAGTAGAAACTCAGAAAATCGTATGGAAATGCTGAGAGGAAGGAGTGCAATGTATAGCCAAAGTTGAGGTGTATTTCGTTTGGTGTTGTGTTTCATTTTTGTGTGGTGTCTTTCTTCAACAGCTGCTGCACATATATGTAGCAGCCAGCTTTGAAGATGAACGACCCTCCATCCTCCATGGTGGAGCATGCACTAGCTTGTTTGTGGAGCAAGCACTTGGCCATGGTGGGAAGAGCATTAGGCGGCTGCTATTGCAGCTGGTGGTCAATACATGGATTGAAAAATATCCGTTACAAATGCGAATAATCTTACGTTAATATTTATTATTAACAAATAAATTTGGTGCAAAAAATTAATCAATCAATCATTTGACCGAATCCGTAGCCGTAGCCGTAGCTTACGCCGTAGCTGAAGCCGAGCGAGCGACGACGGCGACGGCGCGATGCTTACTTTCTTCTTAACTCTTTAAGAGTTACAAGAAGAGCAATTATATATATACCCAACAAAAATCTTTTCTTCTTCCAATATAAGACAATGTCTCATTGTCAAAAGGGAAAAACTTAAAATTTTACTCAAAAATTTCATTTTCCCTTCATTTTTCATTCACCCTTATTTTAAGACTATTTCATCGTAAAAACAAAACCTCTAAACAGTTATTACAATACTTTTCCTAAGTAAATGTAACGCTTGGCGAATTCAAATTAGTAAAACTAGTGTACTTGAATATCGAATCATTAAACAGAAAAGAAATTAATAAGAAAGAGAAACAAGATGACAGGTGTGGTGAGACCGATGAGTTAAAATGACCTCTTCGGGCATTACCAGTAACTATAAAAACGCACCATAGAGTTAAATAGTAGAAAGCATTTTGGAATATCTGAAAAATGGCTCTACGAACCCTAGTGAGCAGACGGACCTTAGCAACAGGGCTAGGGTTCCGCCCGCAACTCCGCGGCTTGCAGACCTTTTCGCTCCCCGATCTCCCCTACGATTATGGAGCACTGGAGCCGGCAATTAGCGGTGACATAATGCAGCTCCACCACCAAAAGCATCATCAGACTTACGTCACCAATTACAATAAAGCCCTTGAACAGCTACATAATGCCATTTCCAAAGGAGATGCTCCTACCGTCGCCAAATTGCATAGCGCTATCAAATTCAACGGCGGAGGTCAATTCCTCTCTCTGTTTCATTATTTATCTACTGAATAATTCATTGTTTGTCGAATTTAACTGATTGGTTGTATTTTTGAATTTGTTCGAGATAAAATTGGATTTGAATTGAACTGGAGTATGAGATTAATCTTCATAGGATTAAAAAGAATTAAAGAAATTAGGTGGTTGTTTTAGTGATATTGAATTATGCTAGGAGGAAGTAGTTGTAGCAGTTCGATGAGAAGAGATTAGAGCTTTTGACACTTGATGTCAGTTTGAATGAAATTATCATTGTCGATGGCTGATTATATTACAAATATTAATTCTAATTGTGGAAATGATGTTAATTGAATGCCGAAATGGCCTTTTTTGCTGCAGAAAATGAGAAATTGGTAAATATTTAGTAAAGGTAGTGAGTTATAGATGTTTGAGGGGAATTATGATGGTCCAGAAGAAAAACATTGGATTGCCTCGAGTTAATTAAGCTGTTGTTCAGCCTGGAAGTATGTTGGTGTTTTCCTCATCTCATTTCTGCGCTCTCTGTTGCAACATGCATTTTGATTTACATTTGTGCTTTGGCGAAGCCCATTCATGTGTGTATGCGATGATTTCATAAATCATCACTCTTTTATCCTAGCTGATGGTTTTCTTTTGACTTTTCACGCAGGTCATATTAACCACTCGATTTTCTGGAAGAATCTTGCCCCTGTCCGCGTAAGCTTGCTTCCTCAGTTATATTATTGTTCTACTTTGAAGGGAAATGACATAACTGCTAAATCATATTGCAGGAGGGTGGTGGAGAGCCTCCAAAGGGTTCTCTTGGTTGGGCTATCGACACTAACTTTGGCTCCCTGGAAGCTTTAGTTCAAAAGATGAATGCAGAAGGTGCTGCTTTACAGGGCTCTGGCTGGGTGGTAGGTCTCACTTCCTTTTCTTGGAACTTTGTTGGTCAGCTTAGGTCTCTGAGAATCATGCTTTTGATTGCACCTTGTATTTCTTCTTGAGCCTGCGTTTACGTTTGCAGTGGCTTGGTGTGGACAAAGAGCTTAAGCGCCTGGTGATTGAAACCACTGCAAATCAGGTGATTTATGCATTTTTATTTATGCTAAATTAATAAATTGATGAGCGTCATCTTCAACAAGTGAAGTTGATTCCTCCACTTTGTTTCCTTAACTCAGAGGTTATTATCCAAGAAATAGTGAAAAGAAAAGGCATAAGACTGCTAATTTCTTGATGAACAAGAGGGTCTTAAAAACTGCAGCGTAAATAACCTGACCTTTCATTATTATCTGCTTCCCTAGTCAAGAGACGGACTTTTTAATGTTAAATACTCGTCTTTGCACCAGCTGAGTATTCCTATTAGTTTAATGAACTTCTTTGACTTGTCCTTTAGGATTATTTTGCATTCTCCCCCTTCCTTGGTCTGTCAGCATTCTGCAATTCGCAACATACAGCGCTTAAATGGCCTGTGTAGATAGGTCTTTGTTTTGTCAATCCTCTATATGTTAGGATTGCATAAGAAAGTTGGCAAATATTTCAGTAATTGTTGCTTGTCAGGTTGCCTATCAATCAGGTTGCTTATGATAGGGATCATTTTTTCTTGCCAGGACCCTTTGGTTTCTAAAGGAGCAAATTTGGTTCCTCTTCTGGGAATAGACGTTTGGGAACATGCATACTACTTGCAGGTAATTTTATTATTCTTTTACAGTGCTTTAATACCCTAAACATGATATATCCATAATTCTATGAAGCTATCCATGCTACTACCAATGTTTTTATTCTGAATCATGGTTGACATTGCTACTTGTTCCAAGTAAGATTTTCTCCTTTCTCTTGGATGCTCTTGATCTTTGTATACTGCATGAATGTATTGAATCTTTATGGAAATAGATGTTTTTGAAAGCCATATTTTTTATGTCGTTTGGACTTTTATTCAAATTCAATCATTCTTGTTGTTGAATATAACTAATAGCTTGCCTTTGCCTATTGTGATACAGTACAAAAATGTAAGACCTGATTACCTGAAGAACATATGGAAAGTTATGAACTGGAAATATGCAAATGAAGTTTATGAGAAAGAATGTCCTTGAACAGGGATATTTGACGCTGTTTTGAGGACATGTCTGTATAACTTTTTGATGGGAAATAAGGCTGAGTGACATTAGCAGGTGTCCAATTTTTCTTGTGTGTGTAGTCGCAGATTGATGTACTTGATGTATTTCTGGAAAGGGTTTATGTACTTGATGTATGGAACCTAAATAAAACTACTCTATGTTTGAGCCCAACTCTTTGGATATCAGTTTATCCAAATAGTATCACTTGTAAAAGCCGCTAGCTGGGTTTACAGAGCATCTGTCTTAGCAGCCCTGTGTATTCAGATGGATTTAATGTATTACTTGAACTAGTCCAATTTTTCCTCAACCTATAGATTTTGGCTTCTGGGTTGAAAAAGCTCCTGCATTAAGCGGCTTTTCTTGTGTCAAAATCCAGAAATTTAATGTGCTACTTTTACCACGATCAATATTAACTGCAACCTTTAGATTCCGAGGTGATCATGTTAATTAAAGCATTCTATACTAAGCAAGTCGATCCTTGCAATCTTGGACAGTGGGGTATTATTGAAGTTATTTTCTTAGGTGTGGTACACGGGGTGTAAACTAATCTATATTGGTGGTTATGTAGAAAAATTACAAACTTACATGACCCTCGGCTATGTTTAGGAAAGCAGGATTTGGCATATGTATAGCTGAAGAACCAGTCGTGAAAGTGAAAGTGAAACTGAACAATTTACTATTGTGATTGAGGATGTCAGAATTGATAAGTCTTAAATCTGCTGTAAAATTTCCACATCTAGTGTTTCCAACGCAATTCAATTTTTTTCTCCTTTAGGTAGCAATCTTGATCCTTCATCACAAGGGGCAGTGAATACCATCCACGATGTCCATGTTCTTCTGGGTCAAGAAAATCAGTGTAACAGGTCTTTGATTCAACTTCCGTCAGCATTAGAGAACTCCAAGAAAACTCAGTAGTTGCTACAACAGCATGCGATTAAAGCCTTAGTTTTTTTGTGATAGCAACTACTGAGTTTTGTGTGGTTCTTCATTTTGAAAAACTGATTTAAAGCCTTTTACAACAGTATTGACAACTCTTTTGACACGTACTGCAGCATCCATGAACTTTAATGGCATGAACCCACTTCAGCAGGCTGTTGGAGTTGCTTCATGATTCTAACACATTCAACCATCGGGCAGTCTGTTTTAATCGCATTTGAGGCAATATGTGATCTGCTAGCAGCATAGCCTTCCTGTAATTAAACGCTCCAAAATAATGATGCTAAACTCATGTCTAACAGTGGCAACAAGTAAATCTAGGGGGCAGAGAGCAAGGAAATTATCCTTATTCACTGAGGTGGCAGCAGAATGACATGAAATTGCTCCATCGGGAATGTTTTGAGTATATAGAATATGTATTCAAACTCCCACCAAATGAACCGATAAGAAAACAAGAGTAGATAGGTGTTTATTCACAAAGACTTGGGAGTAGAACAGGGTATTTGCATAAAGTCACCTGAGGGATGAGCAGAACAAGATATTGGCATAAAATCAGCCCAGGGAAGGAATCCATGCAAACACCATTTATTTATGGGAAAAATCACCTTTGCCCCGACGTCTGAATAAAAGACGTCCTGCACAACTCATCACTCCACCTAGATGTTTATATAGCAGTTGACCCCTAGAAATTTGCATTAAGACCATCGTCCATCATGCCTATTTTACTTAATTAAAGATCAATTTTATTATTATATATATAAGTAAAAGTTGGATCCGAAATGAATGGGGGGTAATTAAAGATCAATTTCTATTAAAACATTGAGTTTAAATATTAAAGTCCACCCAGCTTTAATTTAACATTGACTTTTCTAACGTTAATGATATTTGATTTTGACATTTTCGTATGTATAACTGGTTTACAGCATTATATTAAAAATACTATTAGCATATTGAGATACAATGAATAAACTGTGATAAGTTCATATGTATAAGATGGTTTACTGTCTTAAAAAAGAATACAAATAGCATATATTTGTTTAACCATTTTAAAATGGGCAACAAAAGTACCCCAAGTATAGATCAGTTTATTATAAAAAGAAAAACTCTTTAAAAAAAATGTTTCTTGCACTTGAGATGCTTTGTTACCATGACTTAAATGTCATCTGCACACTAAAAATTTAAAACTTAACATAGCTTCAATTTAATGTTTTCATTTTTATTTATTTGAATTTAATTGAAAAGGTTCATAAATTAATTGAAAGGGTTTGTAGATTCTCAAAGTAACATGCGCAAGCATTATATATTCTTTGTGGTAGATACTGAAGTAAGCAAATGACAATTTTTGCCTAGATTAAGTTAAAATAATGGTAGAATAGCCTCACATACACCTCTACTTGTTCGGTTTTGACATTCCGGTCTCCGTACTTAATGATATTTCATCTAGACACTTCTATTCATTTAAAGGTAATATTTTAAACCCCTCACCATTGACAAAGCCTATGTGGCATGTGCTTTGCAGAGCTGGGTAAAATGTGTGATTGCACGCTTTAAGAAGTGAGAATTTTGATAATTCTAATTAAAATAATAATAAAAAATGAAAAAATTATTCTTACACGAAAATTTCATCTCCACCGAGGTCATTCCCCCCTCCCCATTTACTTAGTGAATGTATCAAACTATTAGTCCGGACAATGACATGTGAAGCTAGGAAAGTCAACTTCGGGACAGTTTGAAATGTAAAGCAGCCTCAGAATGAGCAGAATGATTTTTGCCCATCAAATCAATTATTAAAGAAAATCCCTGCTTATGAAAGTATGCATACCAAGTTTACAGTTTCATGAAACTTAGCTGGTGGTTGAGTTAGGAAACAAGCTGCTTTTTTGTTTAACTTTGCGAGAATTGGTTTGGATTTGTATTTTCGGAAAACAAATCAGCAAAGCGCTGAATCATTTTAAGAGGCTTTCATACATGTAAAAGTTACTAATAAATTAATATTGACTTGCTACTTTTATTTGCTATTAGGTGGGCGTTTGGACATAAGAATTGTAAAATTCCAAAATAGGGGGGGAAATGTTTTCAAGGGAAAATGGTATTTGAAATTTAGAAGTTGTGTTTGGACATGAATATAATTTTTGGTTATTTTTGAAGTTTTGTGAGTGAAAATTTTGAAAAATAACTTTTTGGAGTTTTTCAAATTTTCAGTCTTCAAGCGAAAATTGGAAATTTTATGAACAAACGCTGATTTCGAAAAAAAGCGATTTTTTTTTTTTGGAAAAAAGGGAAAAATTTCTTATGTCCAAACGGGCTCTAGATGTGTTTATCAAGTACGTCGCTTTTCTGCCAGCGGGCCAGCTGCTAGGCGCGGACACTGTTTTGTTCAATGTGTTTTGGACTGGGGAAACAATTCTGGTCTGGAAATCAAACATAAGAGGGAAACTTTTAGGTGAGGAAGGCCATAGCTAGTCCTCTGGTCAAATATTTCAGTACCTACATAAATGACTCTTTCTTTCTCATTTCTGTTTACATTTTTAATGGCTAACACCTATTACAGTTTACAAGGTCAAGTGTGCCAGACTACCCAGAGGCGGATCCGGGATTTAAACTCTATGGGCTCAATCTCTAAGTTTTTAGCATTCAACCTATTATATTTTAAAGTTATGGGTTCATATCAACTATTTGTTTCAATTTTAATAAATTTTTACACATAAATTATACTCCGCATCAAAAGTATTAAGTTCAGATGAATCCAGTGCATAAGGCTAGATACGCCCCTCAGACTACCTTTCTATAAACCATCAGCATCAACAAAGGAGCTAACCGTTGTGGAACAAAGAAGCCGTTATATTTAGAGCTCAAAATGGAAAAGTAAATTTCGATCCAAGAAAAAGAACACTAAGCCCTCCATGAAAACCTAGAGTGATGACATACCTCGTGCAGGCTTTTCATTATCGTACTCAGGGGAGGCAAATCAAGTTTACCACGACTTGCTATCTGCAAAGTGATAAAACAAATAAATTAAAATTCAGAATACGCTAAAAACAATCAATAACTAAAGTGATGCGAAAATTGCAACCCGATGATGATTCCAAGCATTTAAGCATATTATCTTAATCAATCAGGAAATAATATATGAAGAAAATTTGTTATGCAAACACCTCGTCTGCATTGAGGTATCCCACTGGCAATTTGGGGTCACTCTCGTCAATCATAAGTTTCAATAGTTTTTCTAGATTTTTTCCTTCGCCATCACCAAGCCATCCCCACTGCTCAGCCAAACTCATTATTTCTGTTAGATGGTGAGCATTGTGAAGAGGCCCAGTCCAGAGGGGTCCTGAAACCATAAGTGAATGTGAAACCTGAAAAGAAGTGTAATGGTTAGACATGAGCCTGATGATCATCCTTTGCGACCATATGCAGAAACAACCTCCATTTCATTCATATGGTTATTATACATTTAATGGCATGACTGGAGTAAAGCCTTTTGCGTGATTTTATGACAATTTCAACCAGGGGTTGGCAATGGAAGTTAGTAGATTGCGCATGTCAATGTCAATTGCCAAATAAATTGGAAATTGATAACTACGGGCTAAATAGTTCTAGTTGTAAATATACCAAAATTGATATACTATGAAGTAGAAACCATACATTTGTACTACAAGGGCAGCTGATCTCACCAAGTTCATTCCAGGAAAATGCTTGAGAATTTCCACATTGGTTGCAATAGCTGATAAAACTATAATACCTGTCATGAGAAGAAAGGGCATCGTCACCAAGTACTAATGAAATACCCCTGAAAAAGTTCACAACCAAGCTTAACCTGCTAGAAGGAGACTTTCCACGCTTGACTTGTAGCAACACTCTAAACACAGGCCCATGATATGAGTAGTAAGAGAAAAGTGGAACAACATGATAACCAAGCACTGAAGCCTCTCTAACAGCCCCGCCTATAAGCATCCGGAGACCTATCTCATTACAGTATGGCAAAGGTTGAACATATGCTCCATAGGCAGCTAAAGACCTACAAAGAAAGAAAGAGCTTTATGATGNTTTTATGATGATCCTAGCACTAACACAGGATTCAGTAAATTTAAACAAAAAGCTATAGTACTACTAGTAACTACATTTTGAGCCTAGAAGCTCTTTTATTTATTTTGTTTCTATTTAATTTGATAGTTATGAGTCTAAATAATTTTATCAGATACAGAATATAGTTCTATCAAGGAAAATATCTTCCGCAAAAATGTTTTCTCATACCAAAAGTAGAATAATTATGTATAATATAATATATCTCTATCGAACACATCATCCGAGTAACTAAACCTGGGGGTATGAAGATTTATCAACAAATCATAGGCTCTAACATCACTACTCCTATTCCTACCGTAAGCATTTGACACAAAATTTATCAAGAAGGGACATTATTCTACATTTTCGGAGTTTTAAGAAAGGAAACATAAATTTAAGGGATAAGATGTGTAATTAGCAAACAGTTAGAGGGGCACAAAAAGCATTAAGCAGAAACTTAACTGTTGAGGCCTATGACCACCAGAAGAAAGCCCATCAGTGGAGGTAATGTATAACAAGCCACCCAATTTAACAGCATCCAAAGCAACTCGTAAGTAACTGGAACCGCTCCCAAAAGAATCCACATCAATAAGGTCAAAATAGTCCTTTCGCACGTAACACTCAGCCAGTAACCTAGTCGCAGGCAAATGATTAACTTCCCATCTATAACTACTTGAAACAGAGGAGAGATTTCCCAAAATAACCTCCCTGTAATCGACATTTGCATCGTTTGCCACTACGAAATCGGCCTCGGCTTCTGCTAAGTACCGAAGAGAACGAATTCCACAGCCGCACATGGCGTCGAGAACACGGAGGCTGCCGGCGGTATTACGGTAGAGGGCTGCGGAGAGCACACCGAGGTCACGGGCGGTGGTGCTCTCGCGGCGGAAGAAGGTGTCGCCGACATCAAATTGGTGGCCCCGTTCCGTTTGGTAGTGTGATTTACAGTGCGGTGGAAGGTTCCGTTTTGGGTTAAGGGAGTTGTAGGTAGAAAAGGATAGCGGTTTGAGAGAAAGAGATGACATGGCGGGAAGTGGCCGAGTGCGATTTTGTCCATGAACATGTTATAAGAATCTATCCTATTTTTATAATTTTAAGAAAATCTCTCATGCGTTGAAAAAATTGATGGGATCATAAAACTAAAATATATATTTAAAATGTACCTATTGAATATTTCATCGATAGTTGGTCAAAAAAATGAAGTGACGAACGAATAGCAGACACATGACATTTGAGCCTAGAAAATTATGAAAATGAAAAAGAGAATTTTGAGGGAAAAAGGAAAACTGATTTGACATAATCCCCCTCCC